TCCTGACCTTTATTAGGTAGGAGCTCAGTGCACGGAGTATACGTGTGTGTGTGTGTGTGTGTGTGTGTGTGTGTGTGTGTGTATACACCTGCACGGCATGTGTTAATGACTGAAGAAAGATAAGGAGGAAGGCAGAAGATTAAAATCTCCATCCTCCACCAAGGACTTGTGGTGTTCCTCCGTTGCAACAGCAGCTGGCAAAGCTCGACCTTAAGGAGCCAATCAATGGTCTGTTGTGTGCCAACGCCCACCACCAAAGGGGAAGCCAGTGGCTCTCAACTGATCCCAGCTCATCAGATGTGAGATAGGAAAACGCAAAGAAGACACTTTCTGCTCCCAGCACCCCCACCCCACCCCACTCAGCCATCTCAACCAAATTAGCCACGCTTCACAGGGTTGTTTGCTTGGGACCGATTGTGCTGCCTTGGCTCTGTTGTTCACCAAGATAGGCTGGGCCGCTGCCAAGCGATTAAGCGATCATGGCTAGCCTGTCCCTTGAACTGTTTTCTTCTGGAATATTAAAAGTTTTACAGCCTCAAGCAGTGCACTTTGGCTCCTAGTAATTAATACCGATTTTACCATAATATCTTATTTTTATGGGCATTATCTTGTTTTTCATGAGCTGAGAAAATATCACTGCAGCTTATGAAATGCGTTGTAATATCTCGCTTCGCACAATCATATTTGTGTCATTATCTGGCCCCTGGAGCAGCTAACTGAGTCCACATGATACAGAGCGATATTTATTTTCCCAGTGATAATTTGAGGGGTGCTCTTTCTATTATGTTGCACAGATGGCAAGTCTAACTTTGGTCACAAATAATATCCTTCAAGTCTTGGCTTCTGGGCTGGGCCATCTTGCCTCACTGCCCAAGAAACTCAAATTTTCCATCCCTTTAATTTTTCAAACATAATATATTATGTTGTGTTTTTAAATTTTTGTCTCTCCACAAAACAATGAGTTGCTTTTTTTTCCAAAGAAATGATATCTTTCTATCTCTGTAGTTTGGTGGCAATTTTAGAGTCAAGTACTCTAAATTTTGTATATATTCAAAAACTATTTATTGAATGACTGGCCACTACCATGTTTGACATTTTAAATAAGTTCATGCAGGTAAGAAACTTAGCAGAGAGCTTGGTGCAGAACAAGCACTCAGTGTATGTTGGTTGATGCTATTATACTACTGTGAAGTCAATTCTGTCATTGGCAGAGAAGGGCCCTAGGTCTACTACTTGGGTCATCAGCCACAATTGGTAAGCATGAAAATGCTGGTCTTAGCAGTGGATCCCTGAGCTGTCTTTGCCAGTAGTTTGAATATGAATAGGAGGCCCTGAAGAGTTGTGGTTTGGTGATGGGTGGTTCATTCCAGCCTTCTGCCTTGACAAAAATTCTCATATTAATGATTATATACACATTTCCAAAAAAATTTTATATATGCTCTTTTATATGACCCTTCACCAAAGCTGGTGATATATATAGGGTGTATTATTTCTTCATTTTCTGGAGTCCATCCGGAACCATCTATGTTGTGAAGGGTAGAAGAGGAACTTGAATTCAGACCTTTTGAGTCCATTGCAAAAGCCTCCAGGTAAAAGCCTCTAAACCCTTTGAAGTGATCCTTCTTGATGGTAGCTTTATCATCAACAGACACTTTGACACTAGAGCAAATGGACTTGGCCTGACTCAGGATGGAAATGTTGTGCCTCCTCCCTGCTCTGGAGACCTGAGACAGAGTCTATCTACCAACCAGCCTGTGCCTTCACTTGGTGACTTCGGTTTTGGCTGTGGTCCAGTCTCCCCTGTGTCATCTCCTTGTGATACCTTAATACACTCAAGGACCTGACAAGCATGAGGATGGAGCATCTTCCCCCATGCTGTCAGCTGGATGGCCTGTGGGGCCCAGTGTGTCATGCCACTCTAGTGATCCAGTAAGATGCACAGTGTCAGCATTCCATAACATCTTAGGGGAATGGTGTTTCTTCATACCTTCACGCATATGGAGCTCCGTGTTGCACAGAAGAGGGATTCCTGGTCTACCCACAGTCACTACCTTATGGGAAGCTTCGTGTGGTTAAGGAAAATATACCTCCAATGCTACCACTGGTCAAGTGTGTTGGCCTCGACAAATGAGAATCCCACTTGGAGAATTAGTGTCTCTTCCAATAAGAAAATGTATAAGAACAAATATTTCAGAAACTAAGGTTGATTTAATTGACAGAATTATTCTGCCTAAAGCTCATGTCTGTGTTCCTTTGAGTTCTATTATCCTCCCCTAGTTTATACTGTCTGTGACTGATGCTTGGAAGGGCAGATCCATGTGGTTCAGTAGAGCAGAGAGAAGGCACATGGTGACCTGGTCTTCTGGATGGTTACCAGCTAAGATGAAGGCCAGCCTGAGCCTAAGCTTAAACTGCTCATCTACCTAGTCTATGGAAGGTATGGCTGGTGCAGAAGTTGATCCTGTACGATGGAGACTGCTCAGAAGCCAGGGCCAAAGATTTTTCCAAATATCAAGTTATTTAAGTTGCATATTCTTAATAAAATACTCACCATGGGAAGAAATTTAACATTTAAGCCTCAGTAACACTAGATTTTATGTTGCCTAGAAACTATCTCAAATCAGCCCTTAGATATCTGTATCATGGAATCTCAGAATTAAGGCACCTGCAGGGCTGCCTTTCTAGCTCAGCCCTTATCCAATTGCTCTGTTTGGTCACGCCTTCTCCACAACATAAACACATGTACGATTTCTCTGATGGTGGAAAATGTGTCTTGTCCGTCTTTGTGTCTCCCATAATGCAACTTTATGTCTCCTATCACAGTGACTTGCACACAGTCAATGCTAAATAGCTGGTTTTGAATGAATGAATAAATAACCAAGTAAATGGAGAATAAATGAATACAGGAATGAACTTTCCTTGCATAGATAATATGCATTCCAGTTCAACTAGTACAGAAGCCACCTTACTTGCTAAAGCAATTCACCCAGACAGCAAACTTACCCTTTCAATCATCTACTGAATAAATATTTATCGGGTGCCTACTATACACCGAGCACTGTTCTAGGCACTGAGTGAGTTCAAATCAATTGATATAAAAGACAAAATTTTGTATCTAAAGCTAAGCTTCTCCTGAATGAGAGACAAACAGCCAATGCAATCAACTGATAGTGACACGATTAAGTCTTGCACTACCAATCTTGCTATTCTAACACACAACTCAGGGAAATTAACCTGTTGGTGCCAACTAGATCCAGATATTCTAACAGAAATTTCAAGGCAAACAAGATTAATTCTATTCAGAAAGACACTAAAATCAGGATTGGGGAGATGGCTCAATGGGTAAAGTATGAGGACCTGGGCTTGGATCCCCAGCACCCATGCAAAGGTCAAATGTGGTGGCACATGCCTAGAACTTCAGTGCCGTGGATGAGAGGTCTGGCCAACCAGTCTAGTCAGATCAATTAAAGGACCCTGTCTCAAAAATTAAGGTAGTGGATGATAGAGAAAGACATGTGGCATCATCCTCAGACCTCTATATGCACAAAAACACAGAGCCATAAGAATATATGAAGTATGAATAAATAGGACAGTTGACACAAACTGTTTTAAACACCATTTACAGATTTCTCCTACTGTACCTAAGACCTGGGTTATTAAAGTTTTATGTTTCAAAAGGACTTTTATGAAGATAGTGCATCTATGTGTGAGCTCCCCAGATTTGGAGCTATCTGTCATTTATTTTAGAGAATGGCGGTCACAGGATAACTGTTTTCTGTGTGCGGCTGTGGCTGAAAAGACTGTCCTGGGACCAGATGTCCTTTCCACACAGTGCACATAAGAAGATTACTCTTGGTCTGGGAGTGAGTGTATTGTTTGCAAAGCCAGTGACTGTTTACTGCTCGGTGTGGGCTCTCAGTTCCAACAAGTCTTTGCTTCAGAATGGTCCTGGGAGGCAGAAGCCCCTGGCCCTGCAGTCACACATTGTGCCCATCCTTATCAGCTGAGCCCTCCAGGATCACGTTCCTGATGTTCCTCTACTGCAGATGTTTTCTGACTTCCAGGAGTTCCATTCAGGCTTGGTGTTGCTTCTGAGGGTGTCACTTTGGCTGTCCACTGGCCCCAGGCCCATGGTTGCCAGGCTCCTAAAACTGTCTTTTTCCATGTAGATACTGTAGATGTAGATAATGACGGGTTTTTTTCTCACTGCTTTACAAGGCCACTGCTTGTTTTAACATAGAGTAATCAGTTAAGCATTGTATGGATTCATTTTATAAGGAATAATGCAGACTATGGTGGCTTCTCTGGCATCTTTGAAAACCCATAGTTAGATTTTTGAGGAATTCATGAAACTAGATGATGACACCTAATTATGGGATTGACACAGGGCTGTAAAGTAATTTCCCATTGCATGTATTTAAACACTGTTCTGTTTCACCTATTAGTCATATACCTTACCATTCACTACAGTGTAAGCCTGTAGGGTAAGAGCCATGCTCTAGACTTATCCTTTTATTTATTACAGGTAATAGACTCTGTACACAGTATTTATTGTATACCTGTTGAACAATGAATACATTTCAAGATAGATTTTATATGTAAATTGTGTGGGTGTGGGAGGTATGTGTATGGGTGTCTGGATGCATAGATGTACATGCACATGTATTCTGATAAATGTGAAGAACAGGGGACAACGTCAAGTGCCATTACTCAGGAGCTGGCCACCTTGGGTTTTGAAAAAAGTGCCTGTCCCAAGAACCTGGGCTCACCAATTTAGTTAGGCTGGATAGCCAGGGAGCTCCCAGGGTCTGCCCCTCCTCTCCACGCATGTCTTCATGCCCAGCTTTGCAGGCTAGGGGTTAGGTTTTGTGTGTGTGTGTGTGTGTGTGTGTGTGTGTGTGTGTGTGTCACACCTGCAGTGATGCAGAGATCAGAGAACAACTTGTGGGAAGCCATTCTTCCCTTCCATGTTGTGGATCCTAGGGATCAAACTCGGGTCATTAGACTTGGCAGCAAGCATCTTTATTGACTGAGCCATCTCCCCAGTCCCCTTATATTAATTTTTAAATTGCTCCAGCATTATTCAAAAGTCTTGACTAAATTCCATGAGCTTATAAAGAAAAGCATTATGATTTTGACCAGTAGCCCAAAACATTAACCCTATAACCTTTACAGCTGTGCTAGTCTTTTTTTTTTTTTCATCTCATGCCAGGTAAAGATAGTGAGACTACTACAGGAGTGAGCTAACTTGGATTGGCGCGCCCTGCCTGATGCCTGAGAAGCAGGCAGCTTTGGTGTCCATGTGCTGTCCCGGTTGAGCAGGAAGACAAATGGAACAGCCAGTTGAGGAGTAGGGGAGCCAGGTCTCCAGGAGTGATCCCTTCTAGCACAAATGTTGCTTCCTGGGGCAGCAGTGTTGAGGAGCATCTATTAAAGGGCCTTGTGGCTCAGGGCATCGCTCCTGCAAGAAGCCCAGAGAGAAGAGGCATCAGGGGCAGACTCCCTCATCCCCAGCAAGTTTCCCAGACCCTTTAATTAGTGTCCCTGCTTGTTACAACTGCTACTGTTTCCCCCCAAGGGATACACTTAGGCCTCACTGGTGCTGTCTGTTATCTTTCAAGAGTGCGGAGCAGAGTGCCTTTTCAGTAACCTCATCAAAGGGGAAGCTAGGATTCAGATAAGCGTCTCCAGGAGGAAGTCAGGGTTATAATTTTCAGAGACTTCTGAATGTCACCTCCAATTTCCAACTCTTCAGTTCAAATGCCAGTTTGGGGGAGCCAGGCAGCCTCAGATATTGAAATGGTGACCTTTGACCCTAGTCCTTCTACATTCCTGGTCATCTTAAAACCTGGCAGATCCAAGAGTCGAAAGTGCTGGAGATGTCTGACTTTATAATAATTCTGCTTCTCAGAAGTGCAAATTACACAAGAATTGGTGCTAAATTCTCCATTAACTACAGAGTCCAAGGAACCTTAGTTTCTCAAATTACCTGTCAGTTTCTCGGCGATGCCATGTAATCCTGTCGTTTAGGGGGAGAAATGGTTGTAATTTCGAATTTCAGCGAAATTTCTAATTGAGCCTGCATTTAATTTGGGAGACTGAATGTCCTTCCACTTCTACAATGGGTTGAGTCACTCGAGAAATCTCAGGTGCATCTTTCACTAAAACCATAGCCCCCTTTCCGCATCCGGGGCAGGTGTGCCTGAAAGGTAGCTCCAGATGCTCCTATCTCATCATTATTTTCATCTTGAAGCAAGACCTTCTGTGAGCTTCTAACCCATCCCCCATGTCAGTGCTGAGGGGGAGAGAGGGAGGAAGTGAGAATGGAGCTCAAATAAGGTTTAAAAGATAATTGCTTCCCCTTTGGAAAAAAACCTCTCATAAATGATGATATATACACAGTTATTCTTAGCATTGGATTCTGGTAACTTGCACTCATCACACTGATCAACTTACACTTTGAGTTTTGTGTGTGTGTTTTTTAATTTTATTTAAATTAGAAACAAGCTTGCTTGACATGTCAATCCCAGCTCTCTCACCCTCCCCTCCTCTCCCAACCCCCACCAACTGCCCCCAAACCCCCACCCCATCTCCCCTCCACTCCCAAGGGAGGGTGAGGCCCTCCATGGGGAATCTTCAAAGTCTGTCATAGTATCCCGGGCAGGGCCTAGGCTCTCCTCCATGTGTCCAGGCTGAGTTTTGTGTGTGTGTGTGTGTGTGTGTGTGTGTGTGTGTGTGTGTGTGTTTTAACTTCCTCCATGAGGAGGACTTAGAAGCAGGCACAGGGACTGATGATCTTCGAATCATTTTCCTGCTCTCTTTTTAGCCAGAAGAGTTCACTTTAATGTGATTCATTAATATAATCAAAAGGGGAGAGGGGTTTTCTGGCTGAATGTATCTATTCCATTCCTGCATAAGTGTATGTTCACTTGAGGGAAGTGTTCCCTAGTGTTGAGAGAAATATGTTTGAATTATACTGAACAAATATTATGTTGTAGTGTAGCTGGGGAAACTTAGACCAGGAAGACATCTCAAAGTTTGAAGGCTAACTTGGTACCATCAGCGTATTTGCTTCTCAGATATTTATGGGGGCTTCATATGTGCATGGCACATTCTCCGTGTGGGAGTAGAGTACTGAGCAAAAGGAAACCCTTGTTTGTAGCTAGAGGGAAGACACATGTCATAAACCCAAACTCAATGTGTTATATTAGGCAACACTAAATGCTATGGAGAAAGCATTATAATAAGGAAAGGGGTGTTGCATTTTGTACAGATGGCCAAGAAAGCTCCTAAGGTTGGTTAGGGAGCATATGAAGCAGCATGGTCCAGAGAGGCCCCCTAAGGTGGGTGGGTCAGGGAACAGATATGAGCAGGAAAGGAGCCATCCAGCAGGACAAACAACCAGAAAAAGATCCTAGAGTGTCCCATGGGCAACAAGAACTATGATTGATGTCAATGAGCAAAAAGGAGCATCCAGAGAGGTCAGGGGACACTGAGGGGTCTTGTCCCCCAGAATGGTTTTGACTATAATGTGTCATTTAGACTTCATTCTGAACAAGCGTGGGGTTACTGGGGCATTTTGAACAGAAGGGGGTGTGTTCTGACTTAGTTTCCTAACAGATGACTTACGCTGCTCAGAGGAGGGCAGACTACAGCTGGGCAGTGGTGGATCAGGAAGAGGCTACAGCAACACAACAGGACAGTGGTGGCAGCACCTCTGCTTGGGGTAGAGACAATTGGAGTAGTGGACTAGACCCAGGATAGTGTCTTGGATATTTTCTGAAACATAAGGCAAAACAATTTGTTGACAACTGGAATTTGGGGTGAGAAAGGAAAATAAGAGTCAACAATGATGCTAAGGTCTATGGACTGTGCAGCTGGAAGAATGCAGTTGTCATGTTCTGTGATGAAACAGACTAAAGGAAGAATAGATTTTGAGAGAAAACAGAAGCTTTTCTCTGGATAGTTGAGGGTTGGTATGCCTCTTAGACATCTATTAGCCTTCAAACAAGAGGAAAACAATTAATCAGAACTAAAAAAACATGTCTTCCATTCCCCTGTACCTCCCAGGAAAGACAGCAAAGTGAAGCAGAGGCAAGGTGAATTTTTTTTTTGCATGTCACCTTGTGGGTAGGCAGTAACTCATCCATAAGTTGACTGGTCTACTAATTTTCTTTTCATTGGCTAATATATGCAAAGGGATACGATCTCATTTTAACAATAGTCTATGCAAAACAGTTGAAACTTGACCATCACAAATGCCTGCCTAAATCACACAGAAAGCTTGCTTATCAAAGTTGCAGATGGCACCCAGCTGGGCGGACAGCTAATAACTCTCAGTGATAAAAATCTAGATTCAAAAGGCAGACCAGGAGGATGGGACAGAATACACAAGATGAAATTTACCTGAGGTACACTGAAGGTCCCACCTCGTAGATCTAAAATTAATTGTGTAAATGCAGAGTGGGGAGAAGTCTTCGTTTTCCAAAAATTCATGTAAAACAAAACCATAGGGGATTAGTTGTCTGTAAGCTCATTATGTAATAGCATGGTACATGGCTTTCAACACAGCTAATGTAACATTAATAGAAATGTAGTGTCCTGAATAAGAGAGTTAATAATCCCAACCTATTGTGCACCCAACTGTCCATACACATCAGGATAATTGTGCTCATTTGCAGCATCCCATCTGAAATAACAATGAACCTCAATAGCAGAGCAGTCAGAACATGAAAACCCACATGGCCTTCAGAGCATCCCTCTAGGCACCACTTTCAGGTGACACACATGGAGAGAACAGGCTTTATGCTGCTTAAGCTAAGGCATGATCTACTTGTGGCTATTCCTCAGATTTGTTTTTTTCAGGTTGAAGGTATTAGTTAGTGCCTAGCCTATGCTCCTGATATATTCTGAACATTGCCTAGACCTATAACTCAAAGACACTGGGTTCTATAGGCATTTGGATCATTGTTTTTATAACATGTTCAGGTGACCTGCCCAAGGCCATAGAGAAGGAAGAGTTGTGCGAGGATGAAAGGGAAGATAGACTATAGCTTCTTTTGTGTTTGTTTCTCCCACCACTCAGGATCATGGGTACCGTGAAAACTCTATTTTTCCTTCAATAACTTCTCCGCTCATCTTTTGAGCATTGCTTGTCCTCATTTCCCCCAGGTCAAATGTTTCTATCCTGTATGACTATCTTAGAACCCAGAATGAAAATATTTCTTGGCTCCTTCCTGGCCCTCAAACTCTGCTGGCTCAAGTACTCTCTTCTCAGTTTCTGCTGTCTCCACTCTTTGTGGGAAAGCCTGGGAAGGCATCCTACATGCTGATGCTGTCCCTGCCAAGACCTCCCATGTCACCTTCCAATGCATGTTACTCTTACTACGTGAAACTGACTCTTTTTCGATGGCAGAGCTAGCCAGCATTGTGATACAGAGCTTATGGTCCAAACAACCGTCCAATAGCAAGCTGTCATTTCCTAGCCTCTCTTGGAGCAGTGAAGGGCCATATGACTAGCATTGTTAATGGGATATAAGAGAAAGTGGTATGCAGTACTACCAAACCACGGAACTTAATAATATTCTTTCTTCCCATCTACCCAATAAATGTGGAGGCCTCTACATCTCAGGTGAGAATACAGAGGTAACACTGAAAGATGTCGGGCCCTGTGTCATGTTGAGGGCCACCTAGCAATTAACTGAGACAACAAGCTTCTTTTGTGTTAAGTCAGATTGAGGGGAACAATGTTTGTTTCACCATCTAGTGATACCTTATTGCATCATTACATTGAAAAGAATGACTGTGGAGTCATTGCTTGCTTGCCTGGCCAATCTCTATGGGTGAGGAAAGAGAAAGAATATGTTGTTCACCCTAACTCATGTATCTCATTGAGGTCAAAGTGGCTGAATAAGGCAGGAACTGTGAAGGATCTCTGTGCTCTGCTGCCTCCTTTCCTCCCCCCCGTGTGTGTGTATGTGTGTGTGTGTGTGTGTGTGTGTGTGTGTGGTGTTTGGGACAGTGGTAGGTATTAATCTAAAGGGCTGAATTCCTCAATGGTTAGAAAGTCTCAGAGAGTTCAATCTGCTTATTAGCTGCAACATCTTTCCAGATCTCAAGCCTAGGCACCTGATGCAGAGCATCACCTGTGTCTGGTTCTCTACTGTATCATAGGAAAGTGCAAAGGAATTTTAACTCCATGATCTTTGTTAAGTCATTTTCCATTATAAACTTTAAATCCCCCTTTTGTGTCTGTCAGCAAAATAATCCTGTCTTTCGAGCACTGTTTTCCAACCATGCAAGTTTCAAGCAGTCTCAAAGAGGTCCTGGTAGAAGGCTGACCCTAGATGATACCTCACAGCTCTCTCTGGCTTTAGTATCTTACTTCTCAGCAACTGAAAAAAAAAACGCTGCCTATGTTCTCTTTTAATTGAAGAATTCTATGAAATGTTCATCTCACCTTTCATAGGTTAAAAAATTGAGAGGTTAAGTTTAAATGTCTCATCTAAAGTCAGCTTGCCATTTAGTGGTGAAATTAGAATGAGGTGTTCAACCTCATGAGTCCCATAACAGAGTTCTCTTCTTATTCCTAATTCTGGAAAAGGAACAGAGAGAGAATGAGGGGCACACTTTTTACTGAATGTGTACAGAACTAAGCACCAATAATGGCATCCACTCTGTGAAATCGGTACTACGGTCAATTAGTTTTAAAGCAAGAATTAGAGACTTGCAGGGGTAAGGTCGCGTGGCTCAAAAGTTGCAGGCCTTGCAAGCCCATCTGTCTCCCCTAAGCCAATAAAGTCTTCAGCTCAGTGACTTTATTCCACTACCAAGCAGAAGAAAGCAACATGGGCCTGGAAATTCATGAAAACCTTTACCATGGAACTAGAACTTGAGCTAGGGGTTGGTGGTCTGGGCCCACTGGGGTGTCCTCTCAAAAGTACACCACTAACTGTTTCTAAGGAGCAACCTTCAGATGTATTTTTCTAAACATTAAACAATGCTGATGGAATCCAAGGAATGGGTTAAGGAATCGAGGGTAGGGTGTGAAGGGGGTGGATAAAGCATCTACCCATGTCTTTCCGGTATTCTTCATGAGTAACAGGCTCTTTAGGGAAAGAAATCACAGTGAGACATAGAAGTTGACAGTTTGAAAGAGAGTCAGCAGTGATGGCCAGAGCTGTCTTTGATGGTTTGAAAGTTGAACTTTGAAAACTGTGGAGGAGACCCTTAAGGTGGCAAAACTAGACCAGCCTTAGAAAAAGTTGCCACTACAAGTTTTCAGCGTCCTGCCCGTGGCCATGTTTCTCTCTGCCCTAACCTCTGGTGCTCTTTCTCCCACAGAATTCTTATTTTCATTGCAGTCCTTTCTAGTTTCCTGTGAACAATGATTTAATCTCCCATCAGGTTCTTCCCGGGGCATTTTCATCTTAAACATTTTACCAAAAGGAGAGAACAACTGTATTGAATAGGGGTGACCCGTCTTCACTCGTAACCGGTGGCCCTGTCCCCTGCTTCCCTAGACCAGCATACCATTGCTGTAACTTATTTTCCTCTCCATCAGACTTAGGGCTCTTCTCTCAAATACTGCATACCATCCATTCTGGTTAAGCGACACTAACTACATTGTAAGTAATAGCCCGCCCGCAGCAATGTCGCTAACGGGTTTGTCGGTGCCTGGGTTATGAATGGGCTGGTCCTCGGCTGCAGTCACACCGCTCTGGGCTGGGAGCTCATCCCATCTTGCAAGGTCAGACCTCATCGAGTTTTGGACAGTGGGGAAATCTTGTAGGAAAACCTGGGATGTGGCGGTGTGCGAGCCCCATAGCTGACTCACTCTCCCAGAAGCCACTGCCGTTTTCTTATCCCTGCCCTTATCCCTGCAGGAGTTGGTGCAGCAGAAAGAGTTCATTTTTAGACCCTGTGTGGAATACTTAGAATAAACCCTTATTGCCACTTCCTGACCTCACATGTGTGTACAGGGCAACACATTAAGGTGTCTTTACCCACAAGCACCTAAAAGCACAGCTCAATCCCTCATATCCATCTAGCTTAGTAAGGCACACGACACATCACTGGTGGCTTGAAAGTATTTGTCGATCATTACCACATTAATTGATCCAGTCTACTGAAAGTCATCAGCTAAGTCCCAAGAACCTACCTCAGAAGATTTTATTTCACATAAGCTTCTAGTAACCTTACACGTTAGGTACTCTAACCTACTGATAGAGTCCAGGGAAGTATGGACCCCACAATTTCTTCATCCTGAACTCCCACAGACACTAAGAGGTGTGCTTTTTGAAGTCGCCAGCACTTTCCCACTTGATCCTAAGGTCTGATGCAGGAGCCGGCATGCACCTCTTTCAGTGCGTGCACCTGCCTGCACGCAAACATACACACCCAAGTGAGGTGGCAGTTCCGAAGTAGCCGAATGAGTTTGAAGAATGAAATAATGGTCCCTGGTCTCACTTCATTAACCCCTGAGTCAGCTGTGCACTACAAGGCAGAAGGACTTCTAGGGCCTCAGGTCTCCATCCCTGTCACAACGTCCTATTTTCATGTCTTCCTTTACTCACTACCTACTTGCAGACTGATCGGCTGTGGCCTTTGTCTTTCTAATTTCAAACTGAGATTTCTCCTCATAGGCTTGACAGCTGAATGAGGTCTCCCGTATGTATGAATTATGCTTGTATGTATGAAGAGAGAGATATAGATAGATATAAACATGCAGATATAGGTAGATACAGCTATAGATATACAGATATTTTACTCTTCGTATT